CCACTGAAAATGGGACTTTGGAAAAGATGCCTTTTGTCTAAGGCTGGAGAGAAAGAAAAGTCCAAGAACATGGCAGAATAAAACAGAGGCTTGGGGACAAGTCTACAGATGGAATCAGCCAGAAGCAAATTCTATTCTTCCTGCATCACATACAAAAGAAAGTAAAAGTGATGAAGCCAAGGATCTACACAACTATGAAAATTCATAGTAATTGTAGGAACTATCCCAAAAAGCAAACTTGAAAGCAACTTCAAGTTCTGAATGACAAAATTTAGCAGTCAATTGGGACACTGAATTAATAAAAGATTTATATTATGCAAGCTACAGCTGACGTCCACATTGTAGAAACAAGCGCTTTCTTCTGACTCATTCCAAGTATACATTATTTTTAAATCATGTTTTAAAATTTAGCCAAAATGGAACTCGAGAGAGCATTATGTAAATCTCATTTCTTGTTTCAATTCTCTCAAAATCCCTAAGTCCCATATCAGTAAAGGCTACATATGTGGAATAAGGTTTATAATGTATATAAAACAGAACCCTTCACTGTAACAATAGTCATCCTTGATTTGCTGCTTTATAACGTACCTACTACGTTTATGCAGAGTTACAATGGGGCTCTGTAAGTAACCCCACAAACTCCAAGGAGTATGAGTCTTTGTGTGGAATTCAAGATGTTAATTTTTTCTTTTCTAACCAAATTAACTCCACATGTTTTTGCTGCAACTAATCTCTTTCCTGTGGAATTAGGCATGGTCTGACTCATTATTTATTTTTTGAACATGACAATTTACTCCAGAGTAGTCCTCATTTCACATAGCCTCAGGCTCCTAGGCCATTTATGTGGACCCAGCATCATTGCTGATCTTTGCAGTTAAGATGTGGATTCTGGAAGGAAATCAGAAGACCACCAATATCCAGGCTAAAGCAACTCAGCCAGCCATCTCATCAATGGCAGGCTTTAGATAGTATGTGTCTGGGGAGAAATAATTTCTAAGGTGTCTACAGAACTTTAGGACTGATAAAGTTCTCCCAAACGTTCCGAAAATGAGTAAGATTTATGTTAATTGAGACTGTCCTAAACGTCAGACCTTTATCCTTACTTATGATATTGGTAATCCTAACAATGATAAGGTGGAAAATACAACCCATTTTCAACATGAAGAGACACTCATACAGCTAATAAATAACAGAGCAGAGATTCGAAACCAGCTTCTTTGATGCCAAAGCCAATGCTTTGAAATGAAGCATTTCCATCATTTCTTCTCAAAGTAGCCTGTGGCAGAGACAAGCAGAGATCGCTCTGACCCATCGAAGTTATAAACCAAAGCTCATAAAAATAGATTGACTTATTAAGGCCTCAGAGCTTAGAGACAGAGTCTGATCCACAGCCTGACTATAAGGATTCTCTGTGCTATGCTTATTTATTTTTTCCACCATTAAATTTACTTAGATAATTTAGCTGAAGGCCCAACTTAGGACACTATAAAGTGTTCCTAGGTAGAGAGCAAGGATAGTGGAAGGGAGACAGAAAGGAGACAAGAGATGAAACATGAATTTTTTAAGTGAAGAATCTATATGCTATTTGTTTTGTATCCATAACACCATAACAATCATAATAGCATGGTGTCCTAAACATAGTGACAATAGACATTTAATGATTATACGAGTTAGGTGAATAAAAATAAGAACCCGTTTGTAATTTTTTTCATCTATTTGTTTTCATAATAAAGACCTCATTTTTTATTATGATGATTGCCTGAGTATCTGTATACCTTGGTTTAGTTCTGCCCCACCTTTAATTTCAGTTGCGTTACTGTGAATTCCTTTCACCTTCCTGGACTTGACTTTCCCATGAATATAATATAGAAGTTAGATTAATTAAGTTGAAAATGTTTTCAAACTAAGGTGTATCTGACACAGACAATCTTTTTCAAAAAATGTTTCATTGTAGGACGATGATCTGGTAGTAAAATTTCCAGTCATATGCAGATGTTGGTTATATTATATGTGATCTCAAACATTTCCAGCAACTTGACAAGACAGCAATAAAACTTCTGATGTTCTTAATATTTGCTAAGCACCTATTTATTTTTTCATTGATTGTTTATTTCAGCAAGGAATTATTGAAAGACCCCTATGTGAAAGTGCTGGATTAGAAGAATATCAAAACAATAATGACTGGGGTTCTGAATTACACACAAGATGCCAGAGAAGGGAAAAAGATGTGTTTAATGATATTTCTCAATCAACAGGACAGCTAACATTTGGACTTGAAGGGAGAGTAGTTGTTCTCTCGCAGCAGGTAGAAAGAGCTGGCCAGCCTAAAGGGCAGCATGTCATGATAACTTTGGGGGATACCAAATTTCTCAGTACAGCCAGTGCTGAGGGGGTTAATGAGGGTGGATCAGATAATGCTGAGCAGGTAGGCAGGCCCCAGGCCTAAAGGACCCTCTATACCACTCTCAGTTTTTCTACTATATTGTGGGTTATAAGCAATTACTTAAGAACTTTTGGAAGATGAGTGACATAATTATATTTACATTTTGAAAAATCAATATGGCAGTCAGTGGAGAGATGAGGAATGGCAAAGTGGAAAGGAACCCAGTCATTGAGATAGATAAGGTGGGAAAACCTGAAGGTCTCAACTGAGATTGTCACTTAGGCATAGGAATGATGCATGACACTTTGTGACATACTCAACATGATCCAAGCTTCCCATCAAGTGTTATACCAAAGAATAGCCTGGTATGTTTTACATTAAAATATGTTTTCTGAAACAAAAGAAAATGTGAGAAAAGCCCAATGTGTGAGTAAATAACAACTAATGCAAGTAATTAAACTAAGGCTTTGAGAAAATATCACCATGTCATCTTCTGGATAACAAGAAGAATGTGGTTGCAGATACCTCAAGTCAGAGTGAAAAGTAAGGAATACTGGATTGGCAAAGAACAAACTCAGAAAATATACTTTTCTAAAAATAGACGCATTGTTCCTTATTTGCTGGTCCTTTACTACTTGATTTGGAAGGAAAGAAAGAGATCTGTTGCATATTCTTACAGATATTTTTTAATGTAAATAGATTTTTCTTCATATTAGGGGAATGCATTTGGATTTGAAATTCAAATACATTTTCAAATTTCTGACTGAACCATCATCCATCTGGTTCTCCTCCTCACACCCACCATACACCCACCACACACCCACCTCTGTATCTCTCTCTTAATGTTTTTATTTCATTGCTTTTCTGCCCAATGAATCAGAACCTCTAGAACTATACATAAATAAAAGATCTAGAGCCTGCCTTAACCTTGGTTTTACCCACCTCCTATAATGCCTTTGTGGTTGTTCCAGCAGCTACTATTAGTAACCCCCTCCCCACAAACCACTGTAATTTCTCTGCTATGAGAACCTTACGAGTATCCATATCTTTGCTCTGGATTAGAACACATATGTTGATAAACATTTCAATAATTTAAAAAATGTAATTTTATCAGAAATACAAAAAAAAATCATGCAGGTGAAAGAAAAGGAGATAAATAAGACACAAGAAATGATTATGTCTATCATGAAGAAGTAGTTATTTGTGTCAGGAGAAAAACACACCATTCCCATACTTTATTTTGCCCAAAAGGTTAACATTTCTATAAATATGCATTTGACACACTTAGTTTGACTACATACAATGGATTAGATAAAAAGAAGCAGTTTTCTAAGTACAAAGTAGAAACCATGATTTCTTTAAACTGGGTATAAATTGGAAACAAAATAATACTCAAAAGAGTGTTGTGGTATATCAATATTTTATGAAATTTCTAATATTAAACTATTTCTAGTTTTAAGAAGTTTGGACACAGAAAAACTTAATACATATTTATATAATATCTTTTCAAAGTATTTCATCAATATTTTTAATCTATTTAACTTTTCTCCCACTTTCTTAAGAATCAAAATTCCTTTTTAATTTTTATTTCAAGTTCATGGGTACATGTGCAGGTTGGTTATATACGTAAACTTGTGATGTATGTAAACTTGTGTCACGGGGGGTTGTTGAACAGATTATTTCAACTGTTGGTACTAAGCCTAGTATTCAACAGCTATTTTTCTTGATCCTCTCTCCCTTCTCCTACCCTCCGCCCTCTGATAGGACCCAGTGTGTGTTGCTCCTATCTATGTGTCCATGTGTTATGATTTAGCTCCCACTTATAAATGAGAACATGTGGTATTTGGTTTTCTGTTCCTGCATTAGTTAGCTAAGAATAATGACCTCCTGCTCCATCTATGTCCCTGCAAAGGACACCATCTCATTACTTTTATGGCTACATAGTATTCCATGGTATATATGTAGAACTTTTTTTAAATTTAGTCTATCATTGATGGGCATTTAGGTTGATTAGAATCAAAACTCTTAACTAATGTTATTCATTTCTCTCCTTGAGGTTAACACTTCAGAAGGTTTTGGCCAATTTTCTTTTCAAAATAATAATGTTTTTCTATAAGTTCCTCAAGACTTCTAACATCTTTTTAAATCTATAAATGCCTTTCAATATATTTTCATGCTTTTTCCAATGAAATTCAGACTTTGAAAAAGGATTCCTGTTGGTATCTAAACAAACCTCAATAAAAATACATCTCTTTCATTATTTTATGATGATTCTAAAATGATACCTATTGTACTTACCATCATGTTGCTTGACAATGCCCAGCTGATTTGATTTTCATTTCTTGTCACAGGTAGAACTCTGATGGCATAACCACATTTTATGCTCATTCCTCATTTTAAGTTGGTTATTTTTATCAATTACTATTAGTTTAATCACTCTGAACTGAAGTAAGGTAATAGATGAGTTTACTGAAAACACAATTCATTTTCTCATTTTGCTGGCCAAACAATACTACTCCATGTTCATAAACATGAAACTCTTCAAGGGATCTGCTTCAAGGGGAGGCAAGATGAATGTGCTCTTGGGAGTAGGGCATTTAGAGATATGGTAAATTACCTTGTCCAGGCACTGGCCAAGTGGTGGTGTGGAAAATCTCCAGGACATCTCAGTTGCATGAGCTAATTTGTCTCCCATGGACTTGTCTCTCAATGGCTTGGCTGTGGGCCTACTAAAGGAAAAAAGAAATTGTGTTTTTTACCTTCTGTAAAAATTGCACACTATTTGCACTTTTGAATTCTCATTTTGTTTCCATTCAGTGGTTATCAAAATTATTAACAAAAGTCAGATGACAATATTATTCATATTAAAGACTGTGTTTAATTTATATTTATAATGCTTATATAATGTTATAATGTTTTATGACTATATTACATAGGCAACCTACAGATGATCACATCTTTGGGTGAAATGTTTATTTTTTGTTTGTTTATGAACTGTCAATAGCCATCCATGTGCTGTTAAAGATAAAAGTTTTGTAGCCCAGCACAGTGGCTCACACTTGTAATCCCAACATTTTGGGAGGCCGAGGTAGGTGGATCACGAGGTCAAGAGTTCGAGACCAGCCTGGCCAACATGGTGAAATCCCCATCTCTACTAAAAATACAAAAATTAGCTGGGCATGGTGGTGGGAACCTGTAATCCCAACTAGTCAGAAGGCTGAGGCAGCAGAATCGCTTGGACCTGAGAGGTGGAAGTTGCAGTGCGCCATGATTGCACCATTGCACTCCAGTCTAGGCTACAAGAGCAAAACTCTGTCTCAGAAAAAAAAGATAAAATTTTTATATAATATAGGTTGTTATAAAGCAAACAAAGAGGAAGTATGGAAATACCTTTCTTATTTTGACTTCATAAAAGACAGCTGACTATATGTAACTCACTAGAGTTGTTAGACATCCCTAACAAGAAAGCTTGAGTAAGTCACTTAGTTATATTAGAGTAAGTATGATTATTTAAATAATTTAAAGTTTCCTGTTGTTTTAAAGAAAAGATTTGTATTGTATGTTTTTAGAAAATGACTTTTCATGTAAGAAGGTCAATAACATAGCACACTTAAGGTAATATTCTCTATCGTTTATTTTTTCATTTGACTTCTACACTATTTAAAAATACAAAAAATAATAGTTTTGTATGTGAGCATTTAGAAATGCTTTGGGATGATTCAAAATTTCCAAATCTTTTTACAAGTCAGGCCTTTCAAGAGATATGAAGTAAGTACAAAAGTTTTCATCATTCATGCATCTGACATTGAATCAGATACTAATCAGAACCCTGGCTGAGCTGGCCTATAGCTAAGGGTTCAGCTGTTATGCATTAAATCAATTCTAAATGCACTTTTTCCAACTTCTTCCCATCCAAATATATTTAATTTGTCATGTGTCCCTCATTATATAAGAGAGATTTTTCTGAACAAATTCTCTGGCTTGAGAGAACCTGTTCAACAGATTTATACTAACGTGTTAGTGACTGGAAAGAAAAGCCAATGAGATTCAATCAATTAAATGAAAGAACTGAAACCTCAGCTACTGACTCGAATTATTTTTGAATCAAGGGAATTTGCAGGATGGGCTTCCTGATGTCCTAGAATTGCTATAAGTTAATTACCCACCTGTAAATAAGAATATCTTCCTCAGGTATGTAATAATGAAAATTAAAAACAAATAGAATTTTGCTTTGGTGCATATCTCCCTCTTACTGTTCCCTGGGAAAAGTTACTATATTCCAGGAACAGATTGTTTTATTTTGCTATCTTTTCTAGCTCTAGAGTGATTTCAAATATTGGGTGTTCCTTCAAATGAACAGAAATAGTACCAATTCACAATGCCATGCATTTGAGATATAAATTGATCAGCAGGACTTCATCACATTGTGATCTAGGAAGATAGGGCAAATCGTAGCTCTTAATTATCTAGAATTTCAGAAGAAATGGGACAGAAATAGGGAGAAAGACGACAAAAAGCAGTCTTGGTTCTCGTATCACTAAAGAGTTTCAATGGCACATGATCTCAAATGAAACCTAGTGGCCATGGCTCATGTGTTGTGTTCCACAGTAACAAGAGGTGTGCACATTTGGTCTGGAGCAATCTTCATAGAAGAAGGGACTAAAGCCCTGAAAAACATGAGCTCAACTGGCTTCAGCCTGCACATCATAAGCATTCATTGAGAAAACATTAAGAACCCATGTACACAAACAACAGGCCTTAGATATGGTTGTCACTCTAATAACAACTAAAAGAAGATTGTATGCTTCTCCTAGATAATACAAATTTTTAAAGTAATATATTTTCTCATTTCTTCTTTTGCTGCCAGAGTGCTTGGAGCTAAATCTGTAGACATAATTTTAGCAACTATTAAAAATATTATGACATACATATTTTATACAATTTTTTCCTGATGTGTTGTTTGTATTTCTATTTTTTAACATCCTGAATTATGTTTTTCCCCTCTTTTATTTACTGCTTGCATTTGAATAAACTGCTTCCATTGTTTTGGCAGAATTAAAACAAATATACTCAAACATATAACAGCCAACAAAGAAATAAACACACAATAACAAAAGGTTTGCTACTAGTCCCTTGCTTTTCTGTTTATTTACAATGATTCAGAGAATGGTTAGACTAAGGAAACATGATCAAAATTAGCAATATTTATTTAACAATAAAAGACAATCCTCTACATTCCATTAGCTCATCTTAACTATAGAGAAGATTATCTCAAAGTAGCCAAGTCTAATACGCAATTAAGACTGTACATAACTAAAGGCACAAGATAGAACTGGCTTTTATTTTCTTCCTTGCTCATTCTCTAGTCAGCCTTCAGTCATGAATACTTGTAGAGAGAAAACTTTACACAAGCAGGAGGCAATTGCTGAAGCTGGAGACTCAGCCTTTGACATCTGCCGTACAGAAGTGACCAGCCTGAGAATATAGACATTTCTTACTAATACAATGTAATAATTTTTAAATATTAATAGAATGCTGGAATTTAGTTTCTCTCAAATGTTCCTGCCTTGCCTTCATTGAACTTCTTGATTTCCTGTCACCCCTTTTCCCTCTATCATCTTACTCCAAGACTTTTGTAAATAAACAGCATAATGGAGAAGACACTTTCTCATAAGGATATTTTTTAGTTGACTATGCTTGCATAACAGCCAACAGACCAAAATATTTCATCATCAAGAACATCCAAGTGGCTGCCCAGAACCAGGAGAACTGATATGGAGTCGCATGAGATAATGTTGGCTAAGGATGAGAATTTGAAAACTCCCTGTACCCTTGGGGTAGCTTAGAAACAGTGATGCTCTGCCAAGAGCTGGCTTTGGAGTTGGGCATATCTCCACTGGAATCTCAAATCTGCCACTTCCTCTTCATGGAAACGTAAACCTTTAATCTCTTGGGGTCTCAATTTCCTCATCTTTAAAATTAGCATAATCCCTTTTGGGGTAATATAAATTAAACGCTTCCTTATAAGAAACTTCAAATATCTGAAAAATATGATTTCAAAATAACATACTTGGGATTATGTTCTGGCTCACTGGAAAAATATTTCTGTGTACAAGCACTATACCTGCTGCCGGGGACAAGAAAAAAAATGCATGCTCTCTGTCCTCAGGTAGCAAAAGCTAACACAGACATAGACTTATACATAACTACAGACCTTCTCATCAAATGTTTGAAGCAATGTTAGAAGTCAGAGATAGCATTTGATGGTATTATGATCATTTTGCATCCAGGTGGCTAGGAAAGCTTAAATCCTATGTCACTGTTAAGAATCTCTCCCAAGTGGTTATTAAATAAGGCAACCAACGAACAAAACAGAACAGGAATAAAGGCCATTGTGTTGGTTGCAAGACTCTGTAACTAATCCTGCTGGTTCAAAAGTAAATTGAAGCCTCTGACTCAGGCTTTAAGTCAGAAAGGGACCTCCTAAACACCTCTCTCATGTTAAGACATTCACGTTTTAGATATTGAGAACAGAAGGCTCAGGTATACCTGCCTGAGAGGAAAACGTATAGCTGAAGGGTTTTTTTTTTTTTTTTTTTTTTTTTTTTTACCCATTCAGACACAGCATGAAAGACAGAGAAAGGCCACCAAAATTTAAGAGGACTCCCTGACATTGCTTACCAATTCTACAACACAACACAAAAAAAAAAAAAGAAAAAAAAAATGACAATGAGAAGTTCCAGACCTAGACTCCTCTCTTTGAAGATATAATCAGTGATTGTGCATGCAGTGGCAATGCCCGCTAGTAATTATGTGCAATCAATATCTATGAATTTGAGTAAGCAGGTTAATCTTTTTTCCTTGGGTTGGGAATGAAGCTAGCAAGAGGAGGTTGCTAAGAATTAGGTGAGCATAGGTAGAATATGCATGGGGAAAAATGGCAAATGGTCTTTCCTCCAATGGGACAAAATGTTGGTGTAATTAATTATCTCCCCAAATTATACCTTGGAATTTAAAATTTTTATCAGGAAGATACCTACAGAACTCAAAACATTTTGTGTGAACTCCAGTATATGATGGTATTTGTCCTAAAAAGGAGTAACTACTACAACTAGACTAAACATTTATTGTAGTTCAGTGCAGACTTTAGGAATAGTTCTAAATGGTACCTGGAGCAGCAGGGGAACTGATGAAATTAATCTATACTATACTACCACAAAAATTAAAGTCCTCTTGATATAAATGAAAATATATTTGTAAAAAATTGCAAGACACACTAAGTTTTAGTGTTAGAGATTGCGAAAAAAGATACCAGAAAAGATCCCATCAAACACTATGCTGAAATAAAGATATAACATGTATGAGTGGCATTATACTATCAGAATAGGAAATGGTATCAGATTCAAAGATTTTGGGAGCCAAGATGGTGAGAAGAAATGTATTCAAACTGCAGATGAATATCAATAAAGTAAGCAAATTTTTTTTTTTTTTTTTTGGAGAGAGGGTCAGATGCCTGAAAAGAGGCCATAAAATATGAATAAACTTCATCCAAATGACTCACCTCTACAGCAGGTTGAGCCAACTTTCCTCATCAAGGAGACCTCAAAGTTGCTTCAGAGTATCCATGCAAGTTGCCTTGTAAGGTCCTTTCTTTTATGCATATTTTCTGGAAGATTGTTTCTCTTTGACCTAAAAAACAAAATCAGTCCTTCCTTCACGTAAGGGAAAGTTTCATCTATTGTATCTTTCAGTCCTAATTTTCTATTTTTTCTTGGGTATTGTATCTCAGGGACAGCGATTGTCATTAACCAGGATTTTCTTTTTCAAAAGTATACTTACTACCTTTATTTCCTTTTTTTCTTTAACTTTGGGCATTGTAATTTTTTTATACTTCCCCTATTTTTGTAATGTGATATTTTCTCTTGACTTCATTTCCTCCCCAACACACATTGCATATTTAAATGGCTTTTTATTATAGTTAATATGTGCAACTTTGATAGCATCATAGCCTTAAATTGTTACTTTAGAGTTGCTTCTTTTTCTATCTTTTCTTTTCTCAAACTGCAAATTTCCATATCACCTCCTCTCCTCAAAACACACTAACACATATAAACAATTGATTATTTCTGAAAACTAGACTGTATTCTATTTATTAGGTCTTAGTTTAATGTCAGTTAGAACAAATATTTAAATGAGACAATGGAAAACGTTCATTAATTTTATAATTAATTTTTAAAAGAGATACATTATTTGATTAATTCCTACATGAGTAACTAACTTTATTTAATAATTTGTCTGAAGTAACTCAACATAAGTGCTCAAATGTACCCCAAATTTGCTATTTTGTTTTGCTTTGTAAATCAGAATAAAAGCTGTTGATAGTAAAGGTAAGTCACATAAAAATATTAATTGATGCAACACTTATAAAATCAACACTTGATGTATTTCTAATGAATCACGTTAGCTTTAAATCTATTTTAAAGTATATTTAAATTTGTATTGTTGGTACAACATAAAGGAACAAAATTCAAATTTTGCTGTCCTTCTAAATCTAAATAATTAATAGTATATATAATGTAAAGGCAAATACTTGAGTTACCATTAAATAATTTTAATACATAAATTTCTCCTTCTATCTATTATTCCCAGAAACACAGAATATTTAAATAATAGAATAATGCAAAAGAAACAACGGAGGTCATTTTGGATGTACTTTCTTCTCCATTTATCAGGAAATGAATTATGATAAGTACTATAAACAAACTATTCTGATTACCAAGTACATATGATCCGGTATGAAGTCACACTTTATCTTATCTATGGAAAATTTATCTCATTCAGTAAGTAGTAGGAAGGGATACATATTTCATAATCAAATTTGAAGAAAGATTCCGAAACTTGATGATTGTTATTTTTATTAGGATCTATCTAAATTAAGACATTCGTGGCCAACACTACTAGTGTCCTGACAGATGTCTATTCTTTCTTTTAATCAGAGAATTCTACTTTTCTGGGAGTTAGAAATATTCCCAGTTTAAAATACTTAGCTTTGAAAAATTCAATGCCACTGGAGTAATCATATGCCACACTCCTTGCCAACAGGATTTAAGAAATCTTTGAGTGTGACTTCCCTTCAAGCTGGTGAGAAAGGTTGCCTCAGTTGATGGTTACACTTTAGCCTTTAAGCTTTTGTCCCTCTCTCTCCCCTTGGAACACAGACATGGCAGGCTGAAGTAGAGAAGCCTGAGGTTAAAGGCCACATGCTAAGGGCGGCTGATTGAGAAACTGAAAGAAACAGAAGTATTTCACAACATCTATCATGTGCCATGTTAGCCTTGAACACCCCACTTCCAGGCTTTTTTTATATCTAAAATAAACCACTTTCCAATTCAGCCTCTGCTTGTCAAGTTTCCATTACCACACGTTCAATGCAGTCATACCAGAAAAACTTTATATTAGTTTGTTTAGAGTATTTTTTTCATTTATGATTTATCAGTAGCATTTATATGAACTTTGAAACAAAATCTTATTATTCTTTTCTCTAATTCCATCTTCTAACATTTAAATTTTGCAGATCAAGCTGAAACAAATTTATTTTAAAACTTCAATTTGAGAAAAGATTGTATGCTATTAAATATGTAATGATGACTATAAATTATACAAAGAACTTCTGCTTCTCTAATTCAATGTATAAACACTGGCATAAGTACCTAATGATGTTTCCTTTTGGGAAGTATCAGGGGAGGAAAGGGATGGCATAAAACTTATTCATTCACCCAGTGATCCCTGAGTGATGACTACAATGATGAAAGAGGCTGAGTGGTGAGCAAAAATTTCAGGGAAGCACCACAGAGATAGGAAGAGTATTATTTTTTAATCAAAACTCTCTCTTTATATGGGCTGGTCTTTGTGACTTAAACATTAAAACTATGACTTGTTCTGGGCTAAAAGACAGCTTGAAAAATGCTAGCAACTCAGCAGTAATAACGACTTGAATGTCCACACTACAGAGCAGAAATTGAAAATACTTCTCTACCTTGTTCAATCTTACCCACGAAATTTCCCTTAATATTTTGAACAATTAATGATAACGATCAATATATGTAAACCTGTGCTTGCCCTTAATGGCGAGGACACTGTTCCTATTGTCAGATGATAGCAAAAGCCCATGCCAAACAGTAAGGACTTGCAGTATCACAGATCCTCCAGATTAACAAGAACTGTACAGCTGAAGGGCAACCCACGCAAAGAGACGGCCTGATGCTTTCCCAGGCTAACAGAGACAAGTGTCAAGGCGTGGGCAGAGTGAACTGCTCCTCTGCAACCTAATGAATATAGGCTTTGTTACATAAAAGTCAAATGATGCAATTGCAGTGCTTTCACCAAAAAGGAGAAGGAAGAAATTAACTTAAAAACCTGTTACATATTGTCTCACCTTATTCCACATAATCAGCATTCATTTATTATTCTGAATTTAGTAAATTTGGTTCTTATTTTGTGGAGCATGTTCACTCATATCCAAAAAAAAAAAAAAAAAAAAAAAAACAACTTTCTGTTGTTTTCTTGAAGTTTGATAAACAGACCCTTTTCAGGTATCAGACTATCTGATATCTTGACCCTTAAACCCTTGACTAACAAGATTCTGACATCCTCAATGGGATAAAAACCATAAGTGGAGGTACTTGTAGTGATTTCTATCAACTAATCTTATTTGTCTAATTTTGCCACTTTTTACTAAGCTCCTTCAATCCAAGTACTTTATTCTCATGATCTGAATAAGAACTCTGTGAAATAAAAATATCAATATTTCATTTGACAACGAAGACCCTGAGGCACAGAACCCCAGTAACATAAGGCACATAACACTTTCCATTTCAGGAATTAGAGGAAGAACTAATGTCTACATTGCCAAAAGCTTTTATCAAATTGAGATGGGAGGAAAATTTAGACACCACTTTTGATAAGAAAACCATACTTTTTGAATCACTGAACTATAACCAGATTTCCTGCTTACCTTAGCCAGTATCAAGGATTTACCCATGAAAGCTATTTTAGAAGTCGAATCTTTTGAAGGATCACAGATTTGTCACCCTCTGTTTCACCTGAGTAGCACCTCTGAATGACTTTATAAATGACATTGATAGATGACATGCCATAAGGCAGATGGATTATCAAGTACATTTATTGCAAGAGCATTCTACTCTACTTTCTGAGGCAGTGATGCATATTGATGTATCTGGAAATGCTCCAGATAAAGATTAAATGAAAAGGGAATTTCCATTTCTCTGTTGGTTAACCATTAAGTTCAATTAACGAAAATACCATACCTCATGCATTCCAGTTAATCAAATTGTACCTGTGTTCAAGCATTTAACAGCAATTATAGCAGTCAACACCTAAAACATTTAGGTGAACAAGAATCTCAAACCTATAGAAAACTTGCAAGTGTGGTAGAAATCACTTTTTTTCTGAATTATTTGAAAATAGTTGCCAACCTGATATTTCATTACACTCAGATATTTGTGATAATTTGTGTGTGTGTTCTACAGAAAAAGGGATTCTACAAATAAGAAAGAAAGAAAGGAAATGAGAGAAAGAAGAAAAGAAAGAAAGAAAGAAGAAAGAAAAGAGAAAGAAAGAAAAAGAAAGAAAGAAAGAAAGAAAGAAAGAAAGAAAGAAAGAAAGAAAGAAAGAAAGAAAGAAAAGAAAGAAAGAAAGAAAGAAAAGAAAGAAAGAAAGAAAGAAAGAAAGAAAGAAAGAAAGAAAGAGAAAGAAAGAAAGAAAGAAAGAGAGAAAGAAAGAAAGAAAGAAAGAAAGAAAGAAAGAAAGAAAGAAAGAGAGAGAGGAGGGAGGGAGGGAAAGGAAAGGACAAAAGAAAAGAAGGGAAAGGGAGGAAGGGAGAAAGACAGGGAGGGAGAATACATACTCATAGTATAACCATGAATATGAGGACACTAATGTTAATACCTTACTACAATCTCATTCTCAGACCCATCCAATTTTACCAATTATCCCCATAATATCTAGTACACCAAAAAGTCCAAATCAGAATGACATGTTGTGTTTTGCTGCTATATTTCCTTTAGTCCCCTTCACTCTGACACAGCTCCTCAGTTTTGCTGACTTTCGATGACCTTGAACTTTTGACTATTACAAGCATTAGCTTTTACAGAATTTATCTCAATGTGGTTTTACCTGCTGTTTTCTTGATATTAGATTCAGGTTAGCATCTTTGGTAGGCATAAGAGAGAAGTGATGAGGTGTCCTTTCACTCTATCACATTGTGCCCAGGTTTGATTTGTCTTGTTACCAACTTCCTATTACCTTTATCACTTGACTAAAGTGATGTCTGCCAGGCCTCTCCACTGTATTCTCTATCCCTTTGTAATTGGTATTTTGTGGGAAGTAAACATCCTGTTCCTCATCAAAATTTCAACTTATTCATTTACTTAGTGTATTGGTTTATTTACATGCTACTGATAAAGACATATCCGAAACTGGGCAATTTACAAAAGAAGGAGGTTTATTGGACTCACAGTTCCACATGACTGGGGCGGGGGGCCTCACAATGATGGCAGAAGGCAAAGAGGAGCAAGTCACATCATACATGGATGGCAGCAGGCAAAGAGGCAGCTGGAGCATAGAAACTCCTGTTTTTAAAAAATATCAGATCTCATGAGACCCATTCA